GCGCGGGCTGCTACAAGGCCTTTCTGTCCAACCACCACGACGATGACGATGCTAGCGTCGAGGATGAAAAATACCAGCAGCAAGCCACGCCCCCTGTCGGGGGGTACGTGTAGATGTCATGGTCTAGGACGTTTGTGTAGAGTAATATATGGTTGTTGTTGATGGCGAAGCGACCTTTGCTTTGCCAGTATCAGTGCAAATGACTCTCAATGACATTCCATAGGTACTGGCTGCGCGCAGTACGCCTGCTAGTTGCGGCTCGTGTCGAGGTGCCGTAAGGTCGACCATGGCTCGTCGACCTGCTCAGCGACACCCAAGCCACGATAGACTAGAAAAGAGAAATAAGTATGACATTGAATAAATAAGAATGCAAATCTTAGGCCACGAACATCGAAACGTTGGCCAACGAGGTTGAGAGTACCGCAGCGTGTCCTCGCGGCATCGATTTTTGCTCTCAACTGCCGTGGAAGTCGTCGCTCATCAAAGCTTGGTGGTAAGGCACATAAGGTATATGAGAGAAAGCAATTGTTTCTTGCGAGAAGACACTGAATGTATCGAGATATAGCGGAGCCAACCACGTGTTTTCGCGTTCATTCGATAGATAAAGCAATATAAAGATGCGCAACCCAGAGCGACTACACTGTCTTGGCCGAGGCCTCGGGGGCGGGCATCGCGACCGGCAGGCTCTCGGCGGGCGCCGTCTCGATCGTGACCTCGGGCAGCGACGGCACGACGACGAGGGGTGCGCTCTTCGTGCACACAGACGCTTTGGCGCCGCCAAAGACCGAGAGGCCCGTGATGCGTACGAGAGGCGCACTCGCTCCGTGCGATGCCGGCTGGTTGTTGGCATTCTTGAAGGCGCCAAAGATGCTGAGCCCCGACGTCTCGCAGCGGACGCCGCGCGGCAGGATGAGCTTGACACCGCCGAGGACGGCGCAGATTTTGACTTCGGTGACCGGGTGTACGAACGTTGCCTGGGTCAGATCGACCGTCGCGCCTTTGAGAATGACCGTGATGACAATGCGCTTGGGTACGACAATAGGGCCGGTAGCGTGGATGAAGGACCCGGCGCTGATGAAGAGGGTGCCGCCGCCATAGCCCATTTGGTGGGCGTCGCGCTCAGCTTGGAGGTGCGCCGTGTCGCCGACGAGGTACTGTGGCTGGTGCATCGGAAGCGCGGAGGTCGTCTGCATAATGCAAGGGGAATTGAAGACTGAGGGTTCTTGACGTTGGCGCCAGCGACTGTCGCACTGGCTTTTCCGGTTGGGGATTTTTTTTCTTTTGCGTTTGGAACTGCTCAAAAGCGAGAATGCTGGTAACCCGCGCTTGTGATTGGCTGATGAATTTGATTTCATGTCATGTGGGCCTCGTAGCTGTGGACACTGGAGCTGGCGCCGCTCGATGGCTGCTGTTAAATATGATGAGCTCAGCAACAGGTACATCTATGTGTGTCGTTAGCACGGTACAGGGTGCTCGTGTTGGTGGTCGGGGCTGCTCCTTGTGATGTGTCGTTGGAGGGTTACGTAATCGACGGTTTGCTTCCAGCTCCGTTGGACTGCGCTCCGCGTAAACATGGCCATGGTCGATCGACTTGCCCGCGAGAACGCAGCGGGGATTGGCCACGCTTTGCGTCCGACCTGCGACGGACCGTGGATATCGGCGCAGCAGCCGCTATTAGCTCTCGAAGCACCTGAAGATTCATCACGTGGATGCAAGCGGATTCCGAAAACACCAAGCAAAATTTGCACGCTCCAGGCGAAGCTAATGGGAGACGCGGTAGTCCTGGCTGGTGATGTTATCATGTCGCGGAGAAGAAGACGACATTGTGGACCGCCACGTGATCTGTGTTGCGTGTGACTAGCCTTCGTCGCTCAGCGAGTTGAGACGAGATCTTTAGTCCGCGTCGAGCTGACGCGACAAACCGTCTTTGTAGCACATATCCAGCTCTAGATCTAATCTGCCCGAGTCATTTTGGGGCCAAGTAGCGCTGCTACTGTCGGTATCTTCGCCATCAAACTGGCTTTTGAAGCTTGTCTTGCCGACAATTGCCCTTCCATTCGTGGCGTCCGTTCCTAAACTGCACTGGACTATACTTCTTGCAAACCCATATTTTCATTATTGAGCTACAATTGTACTGTGCGTGTATGCTCTTTGATGTTTAACTTGTCGACTCGAGTTCAATTGCATGGCGGTAATCTTTGCTACGGACTGAAGGCTAGAAATCGACGATGCAGATTCGCGAAACGTCTTGTCGAGGGATCGTGAGTCGCAACATTTGGGTCCAAGCCGCAATCAGCCGACCCGCGCGATCAATGAGAAAATATCTTATATCCAGACGACCAATCATCCGAGCCGCACAATCAATAAGAAACAATCTTAGATTCACACGATCAACAAGATATTTTCTTATTGTGAGTCTTGTACCAAACTACAGCTAGAGAGGGTGTCGACTGGTTGTTAGTCCGGTGACATAGCTCAAATACCAGTTGCGGTCTCAACTCA